GGGCCGGCCCTTTCTGGACGGGCCCCTCCTGCACACAGGCTGCTGGCTTCAGGTCTCATGAAGCCCAGACTGAGCCCTGAGAGGCTATAATCTGAGGGTTTAATAAAAATGCCAGATCCCATCCTGCGGGATACCAGGGTACAAGATAAACAGCCCTTATCCTACAGCCATTATCTGTTGTAGCTGTTCACCCAGCCCCCGCGGCACGTGCTAGCGCTCTGTGCTGCTTATCACCTTGCCGGCGAGGACGAAAGAGTCAGGCCTGGGGGCGGCAGCTGCTTGGAGGGTCACTTTCCGGCTCTGCGGAGGGCAGATAAGAGCTGCTGCCCTCCACACGGTGATCTTGGGGAGATCGACCGGTTGGGGCGGTGAGTGTGCTCAGTACATGACGCTCTGAACCGTCCAGGTATTGGACGCTGCGTCTGGGGTCTGGGATGCCCCCTTGTCACTCCCCCTGGCTGCCCGTCTGTGCCATCCACGGCAGGGGCGCTGCGCAGCTATTTTGGAAGGTCTGCCTGTGACTGAGGAGCGTAGAGGACTGTCCCGGTGAGGCTGCCTGAGGCCAGCCGAGCTGGCCAGTCGAGAGTGACCGGGAGAGGGGTCCCGGGACTCTGCCTCCTGGGCCGTGCTCAAGCCCACCCCGGCCTGACACCCACCCTGTCCCGCTGTGCGTGCCACTGGGGGTGGTGAGACACTCTACCGCGATCACTTTCCAGACAGAGAAGACCCCACTGGGCCCCTATGGCCGCTTTGCACCTTCCTGCCGAGCCCAAGTCAAATCCTTCCATGCAGATCACGAGTTAGCTGGCAGAGGGACTGACGGCCATTTTTAAAGAAGTCGGAGTCCCACTATGTTCATGTTTTGCAAAAGTACACTGGCAAGTAGACACAGATTAAGCGGAGCTCCGCACGTGGCCCATCCCAGGTGGCCACGGCAGGCACCCCCGGAGCAGCTCCTGGGCACGGCCATTCCTGGATCGTTTCAGGGTAAGGGTATGGATCGCTCTGTAAAATCTATGTTTGGGCCGTGCTGGTTGGCTGCTCGGCGCGGCAGCGGGAGGCCGCATCCCTCTCTGGTGGCGTGTTGCTGTGGCACCTACCGCAGAAGTGCAGCAGGGCAGGGGTCTGGGAGGGTCCCTGTTTCCACTGCTGTGCCCAAGAGCACAGAGTACGGTGTGGTCTGTGACAGAGAAGGACGCGGGGCGCACCACGGCCCCCGCCCGCCCCAGGGAGCAGGCTCAGTTGGGCCCCACAGGGGTGGCACAGGGAGACACGCTGCCTGCCATTAATGTAGGCCACATTCTCCAACCCAACGTTCTGGGTCAGAAGCTATGACATCTGTACGGTCCTTGATCCGCCAGGTGGTGCTCGGGAAGGGCCTCTCTGCTGGTGTTCCTGCCGCCAACCAGAGAGGACCTGGTGATTGGGCTACTTTTTTTTTCAAATACTCTGAGCCTTCATTGTTATGTCTGTCAATTTGGTAGGTTCCAATAGTACCTGGTGCTGGTCTTAATTTGAAGTATAACTGGTGAATCCGGCCATTTTTTTCATATTTATTGACCATTGACATTTCTAATTAGCTCTTTCTTTTCACTATCAGTGCTAGTTTTCTTGTTAGATTTCTTTATATCTTAGATACTGATTTGTCACATGTACAAATACTTCTGTTCTTATTTGTCACTTGATTCTGTCATGATGTTCTGCATGTGTGGAATCGTTGCTCTCGTACCTAATGCGGTCCGACCCCTCGTCTCCCCTGACTGTCGTGTCACCCGGCCATGAGGGCCTACACTCTTGGGAAATGGTGCTTCTCCCTGGAGATCCGGGCTCCTGACCCCCGGCCGAGAGCAGAGAGCGCCAGGCGTCCCTCGGGTGGATCAGGTTCGGCCCTGGGGCGGAGACAGGCAGGCATGACGTTTGTAGGGCAGACTGTGTGGGCTCCTGAGGGGCTGTGCCTGGGGCCAGCGGCAGTGACAGACGAGGTAAGGCACCCGTTCCAGAGCCGGGAGAGCCACGGTGTCCTCACACCTGTCCTCTCAGAATCCACCATGACCCTCCCTCCGCACGTTTGGCCATCTGTCGCCGTGCCTTCCTTCCTTCTGGAAATAAGTCAGGGCTGGAGTCAATTTCTTGCTACATTTGCCGCGTCTCTTCACTCGTCCCATATGTTCATCACCTTCAGCGGGTGCCTGCTCCTGCCCAGCCTCTGCTTCCACCACGACGCCCAGCTTTTACTCCCCGGCCTTGGTCTACAAAACATGCTTTATTGTCCTTATTAATCCCCTGCCATGCCCCTCAGACTCCATTGCTCTCCAAGAGAATCAGAGCACTTTTAAAAGCCTCGTTTCACAGGGAAGTCAGAAGAGAGGCTCCCAGGGACCTGCCTTCGCCGAGGTCAGCCCTTGGCGGGGCCTGACCCAGCTGAGCTTGTAGGGAACGGGGCTACTGGTGGGAGGCCAGACCAGTGGGGACCCAGCCTTGGAGGACAAGCTGTCAGCTGAGTCTCAGGGCAGCTCTCGCTCCCCGCTTTCCGCAGTCCCGGGCACCGCGGGGTGATGCCCAGCACCTGGGGTCAGCCCGAGCAGGAGAGGCCTCGCAGGAGACTCGGAGCACAGAGTCTGCTCTCCCTGGAGGACACTGCCTCTGTGCCCAGCCCTTGGAAGGCTTCTCCGAAATGACCCTCGTCGTCCTGGGCCTGTGACGGAGGCCCTGGAATCCCAGCAGTGCTCCGAGGAAGAGCGCAGCCTGCTCGAGGCCAGCTCACGGGTGTGCGGACAGCCCTGCTGATGCCCTGGTGGTGCAGAGGAGTCAGAGGGGACGGCCTGTCAGCATGGCAGGAGGAAGCAGGCCGCCGTCAGAGAGCGCGCCACCCGATCACTCCAAACTGCGAGTCGGGAAGGCATTGTCTTGCTTCATTGGGTTTCCAAGCTGCTTTAGGAATGCACTGTGGGTAGCAGACCTGCAGGCTGACACTTCAGTGCCGGTGACAGGACTTCACCGCTGTCCCCTACACTTACTGGGCACTGATGGGCAGCTGGCTGGACTCAGCGGAGACCAGGTCTATTTGGGGGACAGTTCAAAGCTATGTGGGTTGTCTGCAGAGGAGGCTGAGGATAAGATGGTGTGCACAGACAGGCAGCCACAGGCCCTGGTGGCCCAAGCAAGTCGTAAAGGAAACTTGTTCTCCCGGGCTGGCATCTGGAGGCCAGGTGCAGCAGCAGCCCACTGTTAGTCTTTTCTCCCTCACTGTAAGAAGTCACCTGAGGCTGGGTAGCTTAGAAAGAAACGAGGCTGTATTGAGCTCACAGTTCTGGAGGCTGAAATCCAAATGGCAGGGTTGTGCTCTAGCAAGGACCCCTCGCGGCCTCAGGCCACATGGATGGAGTGGCAGGAGCAGCTGTGGAAGGGGGAGGTCACCTGGGGAGACAGGAAGTGAGTGGCTGGGGGGGGCCAGGCCAGATCTTCAATGACAGACTTCTTAGGGGGACTCGGTGTTTGGTGAGGACTCCTTGGTCCCTGAGGCATGACCCCGATGGCCTAGGGACCTCTCACTAAGCCACCACCTCTCCTGCATCACACTGGGGACAAAGGCTCCAAAACAGGAGACACATGTGGACCATGGTGCCGGCTTGTCTCCTGCTGCCCCGGGCCCAGGGGCAGCCTGTGTCTTCCCATGTGAGCGGAAGTCAGCACAGAGGAGCCTCTGGGCTCCATGCCTCGGAGACCCCGCCAGCACAGCAGTCCCGCCTTGGAGACCCCGCCAGCACAGCAGTCCCACCCCACAGCTTGCCCTGCGCCCCTTCCCAGCTGCAGGCTCACAGAGGCGTCTGCTGGGCTGAGGAAGTGAGGGGACTAGAGGCCCTGCCTGGGAACAAAGCTCTGGCCCTGGCTGCTCACCTGGCCCCTCCTCTTTCCTCAGAGCTGTGGCCCAGCTGCGCACAGTGGGCAGGCCCAGCTCCGGGACGTGGAGGTCCAGGGGAAGAGAGCGCCGCAGCTTAGGGCCACCTCCTAGAACCCAGCAGAAGAGCTGGAGGAGCAGAGGCCAGTCAGCCAGGTCCATGTCCCAGGGCTGACCGGGAGGAGGCCAGTCCCCTGCACTTGGCTGAGGACAAGGAAGTGGGGGAGCAGAGGAGTCTGGCCCCCAGTCTCTGCTCTGCAGCGGGGGCCTGTGTGGACAACGGGGGACAGACGAGGAGGTCCTCCTGTGGCTTGTCCCAGCCTCTGCGGCGGGAGGCGCTTTCCAGCAGGGGAAGGGCAGTGGGGCCAGCGGCACCACCCTGGCCTGGGCAGGGTGTCCTCCAGGGCTTCCCCCAACACTCGTCCAGAGGTCTGCCAAAGGGGAGGTCCACTGACCTCTGAGTCTTCTCCCAGTGATGGGAGGGGACATCCCCAGGGGAGTCCTAGTAGGGTCCTAGCAAGGGTCCATACGCCCAGGGGAGGCCCAATCACAGGTGGACACTTGGTGCTGGCAGAGGAGAGGAGATGTGGAATGCGAGGCCCTTGTTCAGCCAGAAGCCAGGATGGTCGGCGGTGAGGACGTGCCCAGCAGGGTCCGCGATGCCCTCTCACGGCCTGCCCAGCCTGTGGTCTGCGCCAGTAGCCAGCGGAGGAACGTCAAGAGCTCCGTCTGCCTGCTGGAGAGACAGTCCCCACGGGGCCCTCCTCCCACCAGCTGAGGGCAAAGGCACGCCCTGGGGACCAGGAAGGGGGTGGCTCTTGGTCACAGGGGAGCCGAGCCTGGAGCCTCCCTGTGGGATCCCCCGCAGCTGAGCATGGCTCCAGGGTCCCTGGCCCTGTCTGTGGCCTCCCACTCATTAGCTGGGCTGCCCCAAGCCACAGCTGGGCAGGCACTTGGGGGGGAGGGTCCTGCAGTGCTGGACGCGTGCCCACAGGCACCCCCTGCTCAGAGATTAATCTGGTGTCACCCGTGTCCAGATGGAGTCGGAGAGCTCTGTCACCTTACCCTCCCTCCTGGAGGGCTTCCCTCCCCCGACAGGCTCAGCCACGGGGTCTCCCCGCCGTGTCCGGGAGCGAGCAGCGCCAAGGCTCCAGAGGTGGCCCCTGTGACCATGGCTGCGCAGGTGAGTCCAATGTGAAGTGAGGGTCAACGCGGCACAATGCGTCTCAGGGTCTGTTCCCTGTAACTACAGAAAATGGCTTAATGTAGAATTCTCATGAGGGAAACCTCGCTTTTAAGTCATCACCTAAGGACTCCTCACACCCTGGTCCCCACTTTCTTTTTCTGAAATAAATTTTCCAACAAACCAAACTGTCCTCGTACAGTCTCCCTGTTTTCTGGAAACCGGCTTCTCCCTGGAAACCTCCGCTCCCCTGACTTGGAGACGCCCGCCTGCGATTTAACCCGGGTCGGCTTGACGCACTTTGAAAATCCCGTCTGCGGGTCGTGAGTCGGGTTCCAGCAGGCCAGGCGTGTCCTGTGCTTGGGGACGACCAGGGAGCCTGGCCGGTCCCCTGGTGCCCCCACGGCTGGCCTCCTGTGGAGCAGCAGGCTGGCAGCCCCGCCCCCAGAGCCCCTCTGCTGCACCACACCAGCTGAGGAACCCGCTTCTGAAAGTGTGTCCCCCAGGAAACGAGGACCCGCCAGGCCAGGGTCACAGCCACCCTTCTCTGCTGAGATGCAGTGACCGAGGCTTCTCTGTGACCTTGTTGCCTCCTCCTGCTGCCTGGGTAAGTCCTTAAAGTGGGGAACACAGAATCATGTCCAGAGCCAGCCTCCCTCCCCAGGGACCCCACGCGGTCTCCACCCTGTACCCTCCCCTAAAGGCAGCAGCCACCAACCCTGAGCCGTCTCCTAGGGCGCCCCCTGGTGGGCGTGGGTGTCCCTGTCCTACCAGCTGCTCTGATTTGGGGACAGCCCTGCAGGCTGTGGGTGGCTGGAGAGGACTGGGAGCAGCACAGCTGTGGGGCTGTCAGGGGGCGGCCGTGTCATGCCATGGACAACTGTCTGCCTAGAACAGCAGCCCTCTGGAAAAGGCCAGGTCACTGGATGCCCCAAGAACCGAGTGTGCAGGGGCACCATGCCCTGTGGCCACGCAGGATGACTGTGCCCCCCATATCTGGACAGAATCTCCCTCCCCCACAGGTGATGCCTACGGGGCCCCTCAGCATGCTCACGACTCACCTCTGCATCCTCCATCTGCACGTGGAACATGAAGGAGGGGCCCCTCCAGGTAGGTGCCACACCTGCTCCTGGCCACGAGCCTGCCCTGAGCACGCAGCATGGGGACGGCAGGCTGTGGCAGTGCTGGCCCAGGGAAGGTAGAGGGGGCAGCCACAGGCCCAGGCCATGGGCACAGCGCCAACATTTGTGAGTAACGTGTTTGCAGCTTTCTGTCACTGGGACAAAAGGCTTGAGGACATCAGGTCAGGAGGAAAGAGGTTCCCTGGCTCACAGCTACGGAGGTCCCTGGTCTCTCGCCCCACCACTTGGGGCCTCAATGAAGCAAGCATCCTGTGGGGATGTGGGGGCAGAGCAGAGCAGCATGGCCGCTGGGGGGGAGGGGGAGGGGCAGGGGACACGACAGCCTCCAGGCACCTGGACCTGCTTCTCCACTGGCCCTCCTGCAGCTCACCACTTCCCACTGCTCCCAGCCGGAAGCCAGCCTTCCACCATGACTGAGGCCCATTCCAGACCCACACCCGGCACCAAGAGACGAGGCTGTGACCGCGGAGCGTGGCGGCTGCCGCTTTCCTTGGCTCCACCTCCCGTTCTCCATGCCCTGGGCCACGGTCCTCTCCTTCTCTGACTGGGCCTGGTGTCTGGCTCCCTCCTAAGGCTCCTGGTGACAGCACTGGACTCACCTGGATGATCCAGGGTCACCTTCTCATCTCGAGATCCAACACAATCCATTGGCCAAGCCTCCTTTGCCACATGAGGTGACACAATCACACATACTAGGGACGAGGACTGGACATCATGGTGGGGGCAATGACTCTGCCTCTGGGACTGCAGACAGACGGCTTGACAGTGCACACAGCAAGACACCTGCGGGACGCCCTCTCCTTCCCAAATTGCCCTCCGTGGCAGCCTAAGAGGGAACTGTGCACACTAACACCAGGGAGCGCCTGCTGGGCCAGCCCTTCTCGAGGTCAGCGTAATGGCCCGAGGACCTGCGGGCACCTTGTCTGTGCTATGACATCAAGGTCACTGTGGTTGGGAACACTGGTGACATCATCATGCTCAAGGTCACTGGTCCATGTGCTGCTAGAATTGAGGCTCCCAGGTTCCCCGGGGGACAGCAGTCCTGAAAGTCACGGTTTTGCTTTCGGATTTTAAAGCTCCCCCCTGCTAAGGCATGTGCTCATGGACCATGTAGAGCTCTCTGTGTCCAGCCATCTCCACGATGTCGAATGGGACATTCCCGCCTCACTAATTTGGGAAGATTAAATGAAGCACGGCTGCAGGCCCCTTACTTCCTGAGCAGGGGCTGGCAGACGCCGGCTCCTTCCCTTCCTGGCAGGCGCAGCCCCTGCAAGCCTGCCCCTCCGCCAGTGTCAGCATGAGGCTGACATGGTGAGGAATAGTGTGTCCTCTCCACCTGCAGATTTCTGTTTCTCCCAGCCCGGAATAGCTCAAGTAGGCTGTGACCTCGGCAAGCACCCTTGAGAGAGTCTCGAGGCGCCTTGAGAAATTGCGCAAGAGGCGCTCTGCATCTGGGCTGGATCTATTATTCATGCACGCATGTTTCAGCGAGCACGGTAATTTAGAGTCTCTCAGAGTGCTCTCTGCAGCAGCTATAAACCACCTTCCATGCACTCTGGGAAAAATCACCTTTCCCTCCCTGCAGCTGGGGGCATGCCAGAGAAGTCGCCCAGAGAAGCAAGGGCCAAGGTGGGGCCAGGCAGTTCAGAGCTCTTCAGAGCCCTGCAGACCTCACATCGGGGCCGCTGCATCCCAGCCGCCTCCTGCATGACCTCCAGAGTTCTGCTTTCTCATTGTGAAATGAGTCACGGCGCGAGACGCCTCACAGTCGGGCTTTCTGCAGGAGAAGCCCAGTCCAGCTCCCCCTCCATGACCTACAGCAAGTAATTTACTGCTCTCCAAAATCAGCTCTGTGGGGCTATGGACGCCTGCCTTCAGTGTTCCAGGAACCAGAACGCTGAGCACACACTGGGCACACGGAGGCATGGATCTTCTGCATATGCATATTCATCTCCATCTTCACAGCTCCCGCTTTAGAAAAAGGCTTAACTTTCATGTCTACAGAGAATACAATAAATACAGAGGCACAGATTTTCCCAGGAAACATCCCTGACATGGAGCTTACACCACCCATGCATACTAAGGGGTGGAGATGAACATAAAGAAAAGGAAAGAATGAAATTAACATCCACTTCAGATGCTAGAGATGCCAGGAGGAGAAGCTCCTCCAGGATCTGGGAGGCCAGAGCTGGTTTCTGATTTTGCTTTTTGCTGTGATAATGTGACAGGTCCAGAGTGGCTGCTTCCTTTCCTCTGAGTGCCAGATTCTCATTTCTATTCTCCCCCCGTCTCAGCTCACTGCAGAAGATAAATAGCATCGCTCCGCCCCGAGTGGGCCGTGCTGTGCATGAGCTGGGTGCAGCTCCAGCCCCTGCACGAGTGGGGCCCCCGCCCACACCAGGCTCTGCACACACCACCAGCCCGGCTCTGCACGGCCTCTCCTCCTGCAGGCTGGGCCTGCCTGACCTCTCCTCACCCCGCTGCGGCTGGAAGTGGCACTTCCGCTGGCTCGCCTAGCTCACGGTTGTCAGCTGGTGACAAGAGCTTCTGTGGAGTGCAGAGCCCAGGGTGAGAGGCACAACAGGCTGCAGCCGCACACCTGCAGTCCCACTGGGGCGGTGATGCCTGCTCATGCCGCAGGTGGACCCCAGACGCCCATCACAGGCAGACCTGGAGGTGGGCTCTTGCTGGGATCCTGCCAGCTTTGAGGTCCCCTAGACCTGCCCCTGTCACTGCAAGGGTGGTGATGTGCCCCTGGGGGGCAGAGAGACAGCTAGAGCCTCCTCCTCTGGCTTCTCAGGGCCTCTGTGCTATCTCTGTACCATCTATGGGAAACATAACCCGTCTGGCGGCAGACAGGGCTTCCGTGAGTGCCCTGAGTGCCACCGAACCAGGCACCTTGGACGGTGCATGCTGACCAGTGGCACTCGTCTCCATGCAGAAAGCCAAGCCGCGATGAGGGCAGCCTTCTGAGGCCCTGTGGTCTCTAGAGCTGGGTGGGACCGTGGAGGTCACCTCCAGTCCCCATGCTCAGGAGCACTGTGGCCATGCCAGACCACAGGCGGGAACCCAGGGAAGCCCTGGTCTCTGGGCCCTGCAGGGCAGGACCCTGGCCTCCTTTCCCGCCCTCCTGCAGTTCCCTATCAGAGGCCAAGAGCTCCAATCCACGTGGGCTAGCAGAGGAGCCCTGGGTCTGGCCCCTTCTCACTGCTCTGCAGACTGGGGGCCTGGGGCGGCAGGTGCCCTCCTACCCACAGCTACAGGTGTGGCCAGGCCCCTGGGGCACGTGCGCCCATCTGTGAGTCCTCTTGCTATTTTATGATGCTGTGATGAATGAGCTCACCCAGGGGTCCTCGCAGCTCCAGGGGCCGCTCTGGTCACTCCTCACAGGCAGCAGCGGACAGGCCAGAGATCCTGAGACTGTCTCAGTCTATAGTGTCCATCAGTGTGGCTCTTATCGGCTTCAAGAGGCCTGCCAGCATAAATAGGCTGCCCACTCCTCAGCAGGGTGTGGCTCTGCTGGACCAGGCCCTGGGCCCCCGGTGGCTCCAGAGGGTACCAGCAAGTCTGACTTGCCCACTCCCAGAGGCGGTTCAAGGCCAGGACCACAAGACCAGCAAGAGGATGAGCCGCTGAGAGCGGGCACTTGCTGTATGCGCGTGGGTACACTGTGAAGGCCAGGGCAGGCTGGGTCTCCTGGTAGGGAGAAGCAGGGGCCTGGCCTTCACTGTGCGGGTCTGAGATGGGCGGGCTATCTTGGGGCCACCACTGATTGAGCAAAAGCTATTTATCAAGCACCTACTGAATGCCAGCCCCAGTGGGTAGCTCTGTCACAATGTGGACCCAGCATAGGAGTTGCTGGCCAGGAACTATTAGGCGGCTAGTATCACAGGGGCAGGTGGACAAGCTCCCTTCAGGAGGGAGAGTGTCCCCAGCAGGTGGGCACCTGATCCCTGGGACAACTGTGAGCCTCCAAGAGGGTCCACAGACCTGGAGGGCAATGGGAAGGACCAGGGGAGGGAAGGAAGCGGCACGGGGCAGAGCAGTAGCCCAGCGTTTGGGCGGGAAGGGCCTGCAGAGCAAGAGGGGACCCGAGGTGCCTGGGAGTCTCCACCTCGGCAGTGGCAGGTTGAATGATGGCAGAGCCAGGACAGGACTGTGTCAGTGACCAGGAGGCAGAGCAGGAGCAGACCTGGGAGGGGTGGTGCCCTTGGCTGTGAGTCTACTGAAGGGTGGGGCACTTTCTGCTCTGGGTCTCTGAACACCTCTTTCCACAGGAGGGACACACCCTGGCTCAGGCCCAAGTCCTGCTGCAAGGGTGGTGGTGCCACCCTCCTGTGCCCTCGAACAAGCCATTGGAAGAGTCTGGAGTCTGCATCGGGGCCCACCACAGGCCAGCACTGGCCGGGCTGCGCCCTCGCCAGCGCCTCATTGCTCTGTGACTTAGGGGGAGCCTCTCTGTGTGGTGACTTCGGATCTCACCTGTGGTGCGGCCCAGCAGGGAGGCTGGGGATCACAGTCCCCGGGGCATTGCTTTCCCTCCCCTCCACCGGCCACCAGTGAGCACTAGGATTCTGGGATGCTGATTTGCACATGTAGCCCACATCCATTGACCACTCACCTCTGAAGGTGTGCCATTGTCACATCCTGGTTCGCCAAGGAGAGGGGTCAAAGGCCAAGGATAAGCTGTCAACTAGAGAGAGAGAAGGCAGGGCCGAGAGGCAGCTGTCACTGTGCCCAGGGGCTTCGCCATGGAGAGCACGGAAGTGTCCACCAGTGGATGGACGAGCCAAGAAGGCTGGACAGTGTCAAGCCCTCACACTGCAGGCCTGCATACTCCCAGGCCTGTCACTCAGCCCTTTGCAATTTAAAAGGGGAGTTCCTCGGATGGAAACCCGGCAGAGGGCCTGTCCACAGGACGAGAGCTGGACAAGAGCGCAACACGGAACAGACGGCCGGGGAGCGCTTGGTGACAGAATCTTGTCAGGTCTGTGGGAAAGTGAAGGCACGTGGCTTCCTGTGTGGTGGCTTCATGAGGGACCAGGGAGCATGCAGAGGGGCACTTCCCGTGGCCCTCAGACTCAAAGCCCCTGCAGGCAGCTCAGGGCAGACCCTCCTTCATCCACAGAAGAGGTCCCTGATGGCCCCTGGGCCCTACCCAAGGTCATGCGGCAGGTCAATGGTAGGTGGGGGCTATTCACAGACCTGCGAGGTCATCTTGCCTGGGCAGCAGCGGCCTCCCAGGCCCCTGGCCCCCACTGTGACGGCAGTGCTGATGACCACGGGGAACGCGTCTTGTGTGAGCAGGCGACTCCTGCTCATCCCCTTCCTGCGCAGCGATCTGGGCCAGGTTGAACGGCCTGGAGGATGTGGAGGGCTGCCCGCGGTGGTGCTGGCAGGTAATAACTCCTGGGTGCCTTTGTTATCAGAACCTCCTGAACTCCTCTTCCAGCTCTTTATCAAGGGCTTAAGGAAGGCCGTCTATTTGCATGTTAAGGCGAGGGAAAAGCACAGCCATTTTAACAGATAAGAGTTGGAGTTTATAAGCCTTTACACACTGTTATTTCTTTCACGGAGGGAAAATAAAACTGGGAGATAGTAGGGAGGCAGTGGTGCTGCAGATAACATCACTTAGAGGATTTGAAACCTGGTATAATTTATCATTATGTAAGACGCTTTGGTCTGCAAGATCAAAGCCACTGACGTTATCTATCCACACTCGGCCTCCTCGGAGTCCCAGACAAACATTTCATTAGTGACCATTCATCAGGAAATTGGGACGAAGTGCCAGATCGCTTCACCTTTAAGAAGGCTGGGCTGCATTTCCTGAAGAAGAATCCTGGGCTGGGCACTTCTGAATGCAGAACCTGGACCGTTCTCTAAAAGTACGCCGTCTCTGTGGCCCCCGCCCCGTGTCCGGCCCCATGTCCACCTCTCAAGTGGAGGCTGGGGAGGCAGGGCTATCCCAGCAGCTGAATTTAGCCCAGGAAACCTGGGGTCCCAGGGAAAGCCACTGACTTCAGGCGCTGTCCCTGTTAATGAAGGGGGGTGCTAAGCAGGGATCTCCACTGAAAACCTGGGGGGACAGGTGGACAGTTCCACCTCCTGTGAGCACCCAGGTTTCTGTGCCGAGGCTGGAAGGAGCAGAATCAGGGTCCGTCGGGGACTCTGTGTGGCTTGTGACTGGCTCTTGGGCAGTGGGGGGACCCTGTCTTCCCTGTAAGCTCGGGCAGCTGGAAGGGGGCCCCGGGCTTCCCCGGCGGCCATCCAGGGCCCCCCGGAGCTTCTACTCTAGGACATGCTCAGGACTTCCACCTGCTGCCAAGACAGGGAAGCTCCCCGGGCGGGCTGGACCTGCAGTGTCCCAGGGCTGGTGTGCAGAAGGCCGGCGCCCTCTCTGTGCAGCGAGTTCAGAGGTGGGCTTTTGGGGGTGATGGAGTCACGGGAACTCTGACCTCAGCAGTGGATTAATCCACTGAGGGATCCTTCCTGGATGGACCATCGGGAGGTGGTCGCACTGGAGGAGGTTGGATCTAGTTGGAAGAACTTGGTCCTTGGGGGCTATGTCCTGCCCCCCCCCGTACTTCCCAACTGCCCTGAGCTGAGCCTCTGCCACACCTTCTGCCATCATATTCTGCCTCACTTCAGGAAGCATTCAGCCATGAACCAAGATCTCTGAAACCATGAACCAAAGTAAACCTTTTCTCCTGTAAGCAAATTTTTCTCAAACATTTTGTCACAGCAACAAAAAGCTGCCTAACACACTAGCTACACAGTAATGCTTCATTGACAACCTGCAGAAAAGTCAAATAGGAAAAGAATGTTGATTTGTGGACACCAGAAGAGGTACCCAGGAAGCTTGTCTCTCCTGGGTACTGGGGAGTCTGGGAAGCCTGCAGGCTGCCATCTGAGTCACTGAAGCCAGCAAAGACTTTGCTCATCTCATGAGGCTTCCAAAGAAGCCAGGACACAAGGGAAAGGAGGTACTGAGTGTCATGGTCAGCTCAGAGTATCCTAACAGAGAGGTGGGGGAGGTACGGGGTGTTGTCATCAGCTCAGGGTACTGCAACGGGGTGGGGGGACGTGTTAAAACCAGACGCTTCTCGCTTCCCGTGGTTTTGGAGGCGGGGAGTCCGGATCAGGCTGCAGGGAAGGTCTTTTCCTGGCCTGTAGTCCTGCCTCTGTCTGGGTCCTGCTATCTGGGGTCTTCCTCTTTTAAGGATGCTAATTATAGCATAGGACCCCACCTT